GGACACACAAAGGAAGTGGCATAAAATATTTTTTTAACGAAGAGAATTATTTAAAATAGACAGACAAACGTAATAGGCACAATTTTTTTCAAAATTTTTTAAAAAATGCTAAAAAATAAAATTATTTCACAATTTTCAGCTAGAATCTGAAAAAGTGTTTTTATTCATTTCTATTTCAGCAAAATGATAAAAGACATTTTTAACAATAGATAGTATTATAATTAATTCAAGTTTTAATGAAACTATTAATTTAACTATTAATTTATAAATAATACTTATTAAGGGAATAATACAGTTTTCAGTAAACTTGTTTGCAGAAAATGAACAATAACTATTTAAAATAATTTAAATGTTCATTACATTATTATCTCCTTCATCTTCTTTCCATAATTTATTTTTTGTTTTCATCGGACGACAAATTAAGTAATCTATTCGAAGTCACTGTGCTCAACAATATTGTATCTTTAGTACAGAATGAAAGTTGTTAAGAAAAAAAACAACAGCAAAGAGTAAAAATTTTCAATTTATGTATATCTGTATTCAGTAAAGTGTATCTAAAATATAAAATGAAATTTATTAAATACATTTTAAATGTATAAATTTCCGTCGTTTTATATTTTTTTTAAATGTGACAAGGCACAAAATCACAACAAAAATCGATCGCGTTTTATTTACTGTTTTTGTTTTCGTTTTTATAAGAAAACTTCAATAGTTTATGGATTCATTCATGTCGCGATTACATCCCGTGACTTGTATAAGAAGAAGGTCATACACAGAGTAAAAGCAATGAAGTGACAACATAATTTAAAAATAAAAATAATAAAAAAAATAAAAGGAAAAAGGTAAGAGAATAATAAGAAAACTAAGCGTGTGCGATGCGTAACAAAAATACAATTGTATTATCGTTAAAAGAATGTAAAAAAAAGGAAAAATGAAACAAGCAATCTAGAATGTATATATATAAATACATTTTCAATTGGCGGTTCCGATGATATGATCAACAAATGCCTTCCAAATAAATAAGAAACAACAAAAATGAAAAATTATTTATGAATAAAATTTTCAAGCAACCACTTAATTTGACTTAAAGGTAACCGTACCAAATAGCAAATCCTAACGTACGTAACGTACTGTGTTTACAGCAATAACCCAAGTACATATAATATTGCATTTTTAGAAGACTAGTAATCTTAAAAAAAATGGAGAGGATTTCGAAGGATGATTTTTATGAGATGAAAAAGTAAATCTTATATCAATATCGTATCTGAGTTTCGATTGCTCGTTTATTTTTTGGTCTTTGTTTGTAACTATATGCGTAACAAAAATAACTATAAGTTTTAAAGTATTTTTTAATAAATATTTTGTAATGTTACAAAGAACCTAATCACATAAGAAAAACCAAATATTGTTTAATTGAAGGAACTAACTGATTACAAAATGGGGACGTCGATCTTCTAAAATATAGAAAAATGCGCACTTTAATTTTGCATTTAAAACTTAATACCTACAAAAATTGGATTTTCGTTCAAATAAATTATAATCTCGAATTAAAAATACCAAAAATTAAATAAAACAAATTTTATATAACTTTGAACTACAAAACGAAATACCAAGTTGTCTCTCTTCTATGGCTTTGTACTTAGTACAAAATTGATTCGTTTGAAATTGCTGAAAATAATTAAAACAAAATATTAATACTTCACGATTGCATTACCCTTTTTCGATTAATTCTGATATTTTTTTCCTAAAATATTGAAAAACAAATTTTTTAAGGACGGACAATTTAAAATTTCACAACATAATAAAAATATTCAATTTTGTTTTTATTAATTCATTAATAACAAAAGCTAAGTTAAATTCAGTTCAGTTTTCTTCATCTGTTTTGTCCTTAAGTTTATGGTGTGACAGCAGATAATACGAGTACCATGTATTTAGATTTTAGAAAATTTTTCTCTTGTCCTCTTTAATCCATAATGCAATGTTTTAACGTTTTAATTTTTATACCCGCTGATATGTATATGATACAAGAGGCATGTTCAGTTTGTCACAACGTATGGAACACTATCAGAGAAACATTTACGTTCCTATGAAATATATTATATTTTCTTACTTATAGTCAAATTTTAAGTTGATGTGTAGCTATATGTCCATTCGTCTCTCCGTGTTCTGTACATCTGTTATTCGGATTCTCATTCGGTTATCCAAATTCATGACATTGACCCACTGGAATTAGACTTAATATCAATTCATCAAAAATAATGATTCATATTGTTGAAACGGTCTGCGAAATCTGTTCAATGTTTTTTTCTCTTCAAAATTTTGTTTGGCATTTTTTTTCAACGCCGGTTCTCAAGGATCCAAAAAAATTTCTTTGAAAAAATAAAACTACGGCAGTCCAGTTTTAAGTTTTGAACTTTAAGTTAAAAAAAATAACTTAAAATAGGCGGGTATTCAATTTTGGTGAAGTACAAAATTAACTTTTTTACTTCTTTTTATTCTTTTTGCATTTAAAGTGTGCAATTTACAGTGGAAAAAATAAAAAATAAGATAAAAAAATGCGAACATAATAAAAGAAAAAACACGATTAAAATGCGCTGCGCATTTATGTGTACATTTGTTCGTACATGCAACTTGCTTAAACTATAGTACAATTTACATCATGTCATCACGCAAATAAAGTGGACGTAGAATATCAACACAGATTTGAGGGAACAGAATTCCAAAAAATTAAAACAAAAGGCAAAATAGCTGTATAAAAGTTAAAGGAATTAAAAGAATTTTGCATGCGCGTTTAGTTGAAGGCAAGAAGAATTACCATATTTAGTTTATATATGAAAATCTATTTAAAAAGTAAATCGTACCATTAAAAATAAAAGAATTTTAGACCCTACAGTATATTTCTCGTGGAATAGGTTTGTCGACAGAAAATAAGATGCAAACTTTATGCATAACCTTAGTAGTCAGTTCAACTTGTATATTATTTTAAAATTTCTGTAAAGAAAACTATACAGAGCATCTCAGTAGCGTACCGCGCAAATTTTTAACGAAGAACACATTTTTATTTGAATTTTTTGCTAAATTTATTTAAAGATTTAGAAAAACAAACTTTTATTTCAATTTAGGATAGTGAAGAAAAAAATGTCAAAATAGCTTTTATTGTTATAGTTATAGCTTTTAGCTTTTATTATTTTATTATTTATTTTATATGTATGTATATCAAATTATAAATTTTCTTCATAAAAGAATAATTATAGTAGCTGAAATTGGAAAAATTCATTTTGTAACATGACTTGTGAATAATTCCTCGCAACGCTCAAAAATTCGGATTTAGAAAAAAATTGTCTAGCACCGTGTAAAATATCGTTTTTCTAATTATTGTTTTGAATGAAACTTAGCTGTTCAATCTATAACATAAAGACTTTCAAAAACAAGATGAAAAAATTCGTTTTTCTTAACGAAAAACTTAAATAATTTCTTAACGAAACTATAAAGTGATTAGAACTAAAGTAAAGTAATCGTAGTTATAAGTGGAAGAAGATATCATAAACACAGGTAGCTCTCCTAAAAATTCGTAGATTTAGATTTTCGATACTTATAATTGAAGGCATAAAGTTGTAAAATTTACAACACATAAAATTGAAAATAGAACGAGGGCTGCTAGAAAACAAAAAATGCTCTTAGTAATCATGGTTACAACCTGTATATGTTTCATGCATGTAATCTTACCTGTTTTTTATTAACATCTTAAAATGCTATAAATGTACATTTAGGAAATTCAAAAGTCTAATGAAGGTAAATTAAATGGCATGTTGAATTTTATTTTGAATGTTTTCCATTTTGTTTTATTTTTGTTCTTTATTATTTGTTTTGCATTATAAAGGATTACCCATTAAATTGTGTTCTGGGGTATAATGTGTGAGCTTTTTCACAAGTTGCAAATCATTGAAATTGTATTTTCTTTTAAATAATTCATATGCTTATATATCTATATAGTATAATAAATGTGTCTATTTACATGGACACATGTTTATGGATTATATACTAAATCTTATAACGTATATATGCAGTAAAACGAAAGTAAAGCAGGAAAAAAATAATTTTAATAAAAGTTATCTGCACTAAAAAAAGATGTCAGATTGTAATGCATACGTAATGCATACTTATTATCATATTGCATAAATGTTAATTTAAATTTACGTTTAAATTTTTTTTGTTCGTAATTTTTATTCTAAAAATTTGAGATTTAGTTAGACATTAAAAGCATTCTCTTCAATTATTTGAGGATGTAAAGATTGAGAACAAAGTAATTAATACGAAAAAGGTATACATAAAAACGTTGTACAACTTCAAGCAGTTTGTAAATTCAATTATTGCCAAATAAGTAGAAAAAAATTTTTACTTCAACATAGTGTTTTTGAAACGTCAGTTATTTTTATTAAAAATGACACCGAAATCTAACACTTGTATTCTTCAGTTTATTTATTAAACTCATTCTTTGTTGATCCTATTCAGAGACAAAGAATAATTCATCAGATCCCGTCAGCTTAGACAGAATTCAGTTCAGTTATTTTAACTAAGGTTTTGAACTTTGGTACTTAAACATTTTTTGGGACAAAAAGCAGTCAGAGGAACAACGGATATTATTTTAAATTTGAAACTAGCGAGTGAAACATTGTGAACGCATGAATCGTACAAGTTGAATCTACCGCAACCAGGTGAGTGATGTGTCACGGGAAAATGCTACACAAAAGGTCCAGTTATATTAAATAACATGTATTTAGTTTTTTCGTTAATCTTTAAACCATGAAAATGTAACCAACGACGAAGAATGTGTAGATAATAGTTCAAGTCTGCAAAAAGATTGAAGTAATTCGTAGATGAGTAAGTAATCGCAGTATCATCTGCAAGCACAGTAATTTTTCCCCTGAAAGGCTGTCTGAATAAAGAATTTACATAAACCAAAAATAAGATAGGTCCCAGTACAGACCCATGAAACACACTCATATGAACAGAACACTCTGTACCCAAAATAACTCTCTGCTGCGACGGGCCAAGTATGACGAGAACCAATAATGTATAGGACCCCTGAAACCAATATTATGCAATTTATCTAATAATACGTTATGGTCTACCATATCGAAGGCCCTTTTGATGTCAATAAATAGAGCAACAGTAACTTTGCTAAAATTTAAAGATCTATATAATTCACCACAAAACTTAAGAAGCACATTTTCAGTACTCATATCATTCCTAAAAACAAAATATTGATTCTCACTAAAAGATCATTTTGACTCAAAAAAGATAAAATCCTATGCTTAATTCCTCTCTCAAACAATTTTGAAAAAATAGATAAAAGAGAAATGGGTCTATAATTATTTAAATCCTTTGCAGCGCTTTTCTTATGAAGTGGTACAACAATAGCCATTTTTAATACCTCAGGAGAAATTCCTTTTTCGATACTAAAATTAAACAAAAACATAACACATCTACAATATAAAAAGAAATATTTCTAAGGATCGAGGTACATATACCATCAAATGAACAAGAATTTGATAAACGAAGTGAATATAAAATTTTCTGAATTTCAAATGCCGTAAAAGATTAAAAAACAATATAAATTTGAAAAAACTATTCAATTGGAAACAATCTCCAGTGAATCAGAGCAATCAAAAAGAACGGTAATAACTGTATCTACCTGCTTCGAAATATAAGAAAAAAAATCATTAAATAATTCAGCCACATCTAGAGGATCAGAATAAATCACTTCATTTACTGTTCATGCCATATCATGATATTCTTACATTTTAGATTTTGCAAAAACAGCGAAAATTCATCTAAAAACTCTGTGAAACTATGACCATGCAATCTATACAGGGTGTCCGTGACTCAATGGTATTCCCGAAGCAGGGTGATAGAATACATGCAGATGAACAAAAAACACCTAGTGACATTTTCCTTTTTGGGCCCTTGGTCTCGAGTTATGGGCCCTCAAAGTTGGAACATCCAAAAACCGGCTTATTTTCACATTTTTATTTATAACTCGGGAAATGTGACAGGTAAATCCAATCTTGTACACTCGTTTTAAAGCTAATGAAATCCTCATTCTAACGGTTTACCAGCGGTTGCAAATACTTTTTTAGTTTCAGAGATATTCAAGTGCAAAGTCAAAATTTGTTAAAAAATTTTTTTTTAAATTTTCGTTTAACCGTCATTTATTCATAATTCCACGTTATCAACCTATCATTTTTTTTACAGGAAGACGAGCCCTATATTCTGACCTTCATTTTGATATGACATAATGTGGGAAAATTTTTAGAAATAACATGTCTATCAGGCGAAAACTGAGGCCAAAACCTTAGAAAATTAACTAAAACAACGTATTTTTCAAACAAAAACAAATTTTTTTAATCTTTATTAGGCAGTATATGCATTATTAACTTTTTCTTTTCCAAAACGAAAGACATTTGCATTACTTTTTTTTCTCCACAAAATATTTCCAAAAGTTTCAGGAATATCGTGTCTACGGGGATTAAATTTATAAAAAAATTAGTTATAATCGGTAAATTAGTTATAATCCAAGTAATGTTCACCCTCTGATCTTCTGCGTATTTTGATATTATTCTAAAAATCTAATTGTTGATCTTCAGGTATAGTTAATGTGGAAATTTTTAATTTTCATATTAATTACAAGAACGTTTTTTTGTAAGTAAACTTCTTTTTTTTATATCCATATATCCTTATAATAATACTATTACTAATACTTTTAATTGGTACTTTTAATATTCTTATTCACATGAAAGTAGAGTTATCAAAAAAATATTAAATACTTTTTATCATAACTACATTGGACCCTATTGCTCCAACCACTTTTCGCTTTTGTTTAAATCAACTTAAGTATCAAAGAAATTGCAAAATTTCTGTTGCATCAAGATTTAAAACACTAATGAATTTCACCTAAAAAAAGTACTTTTAATTTTGATTCATATTATTTAAACTATTAAGGGTATGACATAGAAAAATTTGTATAAATATAGCATTTTAGTTAATTTTGATTACTTTTGCTTTAATCACTTTAATTTGGCTTTCCTAATAAAAAACACTCTTGTAAGTAATAAGAAAATTAAAATTTTCTATATTACCTACAGGTGAAAATCACTAATTACATTTTTCGAATAATAATAAAACACAAAGAAGATTAAAGGGTGAACATTTCTTGAATTATTATTGATTTCATTAGCTTTAAAACGAGTGTACAAGATTGGATTTACCTGTCACATTTCCCGAGTTATAAATAAAAGGGTGAAAATAAGCCGGTTTTTGGATGTTCCAACTTTGAGGCCCCATAACTCGAGAACAAGGGCTCAAAAAGGAAAATGTCACTAGGCCTTTTTTGCTCTTCTACATGCATACTATCACCCTGCTTCGGGAATACCATTGAGTCTCGGACACCCTGTATACACCAATAAAATTCTAAGAAACTCCAGCAATACTACAGTCAACATGAATCAAATCAGAAGTAATAAAATTTAATTTCTTGACACATTGCGAGATATCACCACAATCCAAATCAGATTTGCAAAAAACAGCAACACCACCTGCAGCATACGTATTATTACACAGGCACAAAACTGTAATTAGAATTTTGTAGTTACACGCTTTAAAATCGTATATCCAAATGTCAGATAAGAAATTAAATAAGACAAATGATACAGAGCGGATATATTTTGATGCAAAACTAAAAAACCAGTACATGAATCCAAATTCAAGTGATCTATGCAAAAACATTTGGCGTCAGATAGTAAATCCTCACTATCCAAAACAAAATCATAAGTACACTTAGTATAACTAAAAACTTTATAATAATAAAATAAAAATAATTTTTATTTAAAAAAAAAAATAAACTAATTGAAAATTACGTATTAATTTAAATGCAAAACAATTTAAAATTAATTTTTGAATGAAATGCGCTGTATAGGCTATGTAGACAAAAATGTCAATAATAAAAATAAAATCATTTTTGTTCTGTCATAATATATAACAACAAAGAAAACCAAAAAAATACTATTAAATCACTTAAGTAGTTAATTTTAAACAAATTAATGAAAATTTAATAATACAAAATTATAAAGTGAAAATTTTGCTTCTAGTTATATTATTTATTAAAAATATTGAGAATCAAGATAAAAATAATGAATTTCTATTTGTTGCAACAACGATTTAATTATTTATTATCTAATTTTAATTGAATCTTTGACAGATCCTCAAAATTATTTATTTTTATTGCGTTTTCTCCTTCTTTCACTCTAATTAATATAGATGCATTTTTTTACCTAAGCGTATTTGAGTAGCTTATTATATTTCAACAACAATGCTTCCCTCAACAATCTCCTATTGTAAGATGTGAGACAGATTATCTCCTCGTAGAGTATGTAGAGCACTTTTTAAAGGTTTGTGATTTACTTTATTTTTTCCATAAAATTCTATTTCTTGCTTCTCTAATTTTGCACATTTGCCATGATAAAATTTCTTGCAGCTAGCACATTGAACTTTTAAATCAATTCGTTTTATTTCAATCAAACAGGTAAGGCACTTCATTATAATATAAATTTATATGAAAAAAGAAAGAATTTATAAATTTGTTAAGATGAAAAAATTTCTCCAATGCGTACCCATCAACGACAGAAAGAGAAGATCGGCCGATTACAAAAAAAAATATGCCTCATTTATCAATGCAATATAAAAGATATAAAAATGTAATTTTTACAGCTGATACTAATATATGATGTAATAATGATGTAATTTCGTGTACTAATAACTCGTTAGTACACGAAATTACATCGATATAATCAACATGTCTGCTGCACAAATTATTAATACAGTCGTTATTAACAATGTGACTATAAGGTTACCAGCTCCTCAGCTACGTTAATTTATAATAAAAAATTGCAGAATAACCAACTCTGACCTAACTAAAATGAGCTTCAACATATAAATGGAAGATATAACAGTTTTTGATCACAAGATAATCAAAGTTGAAATCAATAACCAAATAACATGAATAAAAATATCATAAGCTTTGTAAATTATAACAATAAATTATAAATATTTCAAAATCGTATAGTTGATGACATGAGTAGTTTTCTTCGAGACGACATCGAAGATCTTATCCATATTTTAAAAGACGCTAAAAGTAAAAGTACTGAATGTGAAATAGTAAAATCGCAAGGACATTCATTGATTAAAGATGAAATGCTGAACTACATTAAAATAAGAGATAATAAAAAAAAATAAAGGAAAAACTAAAAGCCCGATTTAAAAACGTAAAATATAAAACAACTGCATTTCATCTAGGCAGATTCATCTAAATATGGAAAATCGAAAAGCCTGTGGTAACAACAAAAAGATATAGAAGGTGATAAATCGTGATGTACTAAGTAAATAAGCAACTCAAAGAAGATAGTGACATTGAAGCACTTCAACAATTACTTCTTGACCGTTGGAAATAAACTGACAGCAAAAAGTCCACATCAGACAAATGAAATACGTGTAGCTCTGAATCCTAACTCATTATTTTGGTTTCCGATTGACTACTTAGAAGTAGAGGAGATTATTAGCAGTCTGAAAGTAGGCGTATCACCAGGCCAGGCAACTTTTTTGCAAAGGAAATAAAATTTGTGTCGAGTTGCATATCAACCATATTAACAAAGCTTAAATTAAAAAAGCTACGGTGGTATCCATTAGTAAAAGTGGTGAACAATTTCTATCCTCAGTGTTTCCAGTAAGATTTTTGAAAAGCAACAAATAACAGAATTGTTACATACATCGCTAACACATGTGGCTTTTATAAACATCAATTTTAATTCCAGAGCAACAGTAATACACAACTAGCCTTGCCCAAAGCCCTTAAATATATAAATGGCTCACTGTATCAAAATAAGTACGTTGCATTAGTATTTGTAGACCTAAAAAAGACATTTAATACTGTTGATCACAAAATACTGCTTGATATATTATACGATTTTGGTATCCGTGTCTGCTCTAATTATAGATGTTACCTCAGTAAAAAAGAAGTTGACACAAGGTTATTTAAACTGGTGTTTTGGAATGTAGTATACCACAAGGATCAACTTTGGGACTAACTCTGTACATACAAAACCATACGCAAAAAAATCAAACGGCTAAATAAAAATGTATCTTTGATGATGACACTTTCTTTTGTACAATGGACTCGCACATTATGACAACATTGTGGAACAAATAAAAACACTGTCAACAAATACCATTTATTATTTAATACATTGTATAAAAATTTCCTTGTATATGGAATTGAATAAAAATTGAAATGTAAATAAATAAAATAAATGCCTAAGATTGCATATTGCAAAATTTCTTCTTTAAACTGCCAAATATTGAAACACTCATTCAAGTCTAAATGTATGTACATACGTGTACATACATTTATGTACTCGTATGTACATGCGAGTATCTCCAACAGAATTAGATCAATGATTCACAACAAACTGATTTTTTGAAATCATAAGGGGAGAAAATGGAATTTCAACTCATCGTTACGTTACATTTACAGCTGCAAGTGCAGTTAATTAATATATACTTCTGCTTAATTTATTATTAATACATCAAAACATTAATATATACGGACATGTCAATCTATTTTATAAGCACATTTTATTATTTAAACGACAATTTCATAACTCCCATTTTTGGTTTAATTCCTGCTCTTGCATGTCTGACTCATCGTTTAAGTTTCATATATACTTCATATGCTTAAA